GCACGATCTCAGCTCACTGCAAGCTCCGCCTCCCGGGTTCACGCCATTCTCCTGCCTCAGCCTCCTGTGTAGCTGGGACTACAGGTGCCCGTCACCTCGCCAGGCTAGTTTTTTGTATTTCTTAGTAGAGACGGGGTTTCACCGTGTTAGCCAGGATGGTCTCAATCTCCTCATCTCATGATCCACCCGTCTCGGCCTCCCAAAGTGCTGGGATTACAGGCTTGAGCCACCACGCCCGGCCTTTGCCCTTTCTTTATAGCTGGGTTTTGCTGATCAGTTCTGCATTTTTGACAATTCTCCCTCTTTACAGGGAGAACCACCAGTATTATTTTCTCTTTAAGTAACTGAAAAAATATTTCTTATGTTTATTGAGCTGTCTCATTACAGTAACAGACTAGCTGGATCACTGGGGATATGACTTTGGGATATATGTTTTAAAATAGGCACAGAGGCTGAGTGCAGTGGCTGAGGGCCTGTAATCTCAATACTTTGGGAGGCCTAGGTGGGTGGATCATCTGAGGTCAGGAGTTTGAGACCAGCCTGGCCAACATGGTGAAACCCCGTCTCTACTAAACATACAAAAATTAGCCTGGTGTGGTGGCAGGTACCTGTAATCCCAGCTACTCAGGAGGCTGAGGCAGGAGAATTGCTTGAACCCGGGAGGCAAAGTCCGCAGTGATTCGAGATCATGCCACTACACTCCAGTCCTAGTGACAGAGCAAGACTCCATCTCAAAAAATAAACAGGCACAGAACCTCTCCTTCAATTTATACAAATTAGGCATGTAATCAGTAAATATGGTAAAATGATGAAAGTATACACAGTAGAAGAGCAGGCCCAAGGCTAAATTCTAAACTACTCATGTAAACATTATAATAATACTAGAGAGTTGTAGAGTATACTGATTTAACTCAGTGTTGCAGTAGAAGAAAGGAAGAAAAACTATTTGAACAACTTGGAGGCAGAAAACTGGGGATCCAGCTTTGGAATTTACTTTTTTGGTGACTGTTACTTCTCTAGCTTGTCACTCACTTCTCTGAGCTTGTCACACCTACTGGAATAAGCAGAAATTATTATTCTTTGCCTAGGTTAACAAAATATATATCTCCAGATAGTAAGTTAGTTGCATGATGGCATCTTCTAATTCAGAGGTCTAATATGTAGCATATTGGTAAGGAGGCACATTCATATTTCTGGGTGGTAGGGAGCCCACTTTCATCCATTCATCTGCATTCCTGTTCAAACTAGCAAGTGTGTCTGCTAACATTAGGTTGCCAGAAAAAAGATGTGAGTAAACCCCAGTTCCACTGAGCTCCTATGAAGGTACCACCTACTACCATAGGACTTGGTTGAAGATAATGAGCATAGTTACCTTTTTTTTTTTTTTTTTTTTTGAACTTTTATCTTTCAGATGGCATTGAGAGTAACCATCTGTTTTTTTGGCCTCAAGTTGCATATTGAATTTTTTAAATTGCATTTTGAGCAATAACATTTCCCTGGTTTGCTTAACCAGTTATACAAGTTGAGACTTCTGTCTCTATGCCTATTTTATAATAGCTTCTCTGGGAGAAGAGATGAAAAATAAGCCAGTTAGATATTTTATGAGTATTGAAATCCTTTCCATTCAGAAATGTAAATAAAACAACCAGCATGAGCAATCAGCTTATGTCAGATTCCATGGGTTTATGTTACATAGGGAAATTATAGTGCAACCTGAAACATGCTTCTTAATGAATTCATAGTGCTGTCACAGTTGAATGTAAACCCTTGAGCTTTTCTTTTGTGAAGGGTTTCAGAAATCACCCTTTATAAACTACCTAGGGGAGGGAAGAGAACTAAGATGATACTAACAAATGCTATCACTGTTTTGTGGCTGCCTCCCTTCCAGCACCAAATTTTGCCAGTTAAGTAAAGCAGAAACCTAGAATATGGCACACATTTTGGCTTATTCAATGTGCACACACACACTCAGTGCCACACTGGGTCAGACCCACAGTTCAATACTCTGTTTCTGAAAGTGGCACCAGGGAACTGCTTTGGAAGAACAAGATTGCCCTTATGGTTTTTGTCCTCAGAAGTTAGGGAAGTTTGGTTAAGAAGTATGACAAAAGCCCCATAAGTAGCCATTTTTACCTGTAGCAAATGCAGGAAGCTAGACACCTAACTAGAGATGATGAAGTTAGAATTTGTCTCCTCCTCTGGCTGCTACTTCAGTACCCAGTAGTAAATTAGAATAAAGTTCCTCATTTATTAGTGAGTTGGTTTTGCATAGCTCTTCTATTCACTATGGCCTCAGATACGATAAATCTGCTAGCTGCAAAAATTCAATATACCAAGTAGAATATATAGGACCAGTCAAGTTTTAAGTTTGGGAGTGAGGAAAAGCAGCATGTATTTTCTATTTTAAATTATTTTCTTTTCACATTCTAATTTCTTAAGGGTTTGGCTTGATTTATGCCAGGTTCTGGGCCTGTAAGCCTATATTAATGCATCACAGTACTGGATAGGATATTTGATATCTCTTACTTAGCCCAGAATCTCAAATGATAAGGAGCTGTAGTTAATGATATGTAGCATTTTGTTGAACTTTACAGTGCAGTTCTCATTTAGTCCCCGTGTCTGTAACAAATGGACTCATCCTAGTGCTTTTCCATAGGTGCCCTGATGTTTACTGACATAAATCAAGATACTATGTGGCTCTATAGGGGATGCTGAACCATTTGACAGTCTAGGTGCACACAGTCACCTCACATTATTTAAGCCCTGATCTCAGCATTCTAATTTCTCTGTATTCCCCAGTGTATATAATGTGTACTTGCTTGAAATTCCTTATATATTGCTTGTACATTCCTGCTTCTAAGTTTCAGCACATACCAGTTTCTTCGATTTAGAATGCCTTCTTCTGACTGCCCTCAATCAGTTGATAAAACACATAAAGCTATCTTTTAAAAATTCAACTCAAAAGTCACCTCCTGTGGAATGCCATCTCTGATTAATCTCATTAACCTAATTCCTTTATTCTCAGACTTCTGCTTCCTAGTCCATTAAACTGTTTCATTTTCTTGTAATTGTTGCTTCTGTATATTGTCACCCAATAAGCATAATTATTCTAGGAATGATCATCTTCCTCCAGCCTCTTGTGTCTACTTATTACACACAAATATTTTGAAGGCCTATCGATGACCTTTTCAGTTTCCCCAGAGTTCCAGTTCACCTTCCTTACTGTTTCCTTTTACTTCATGGTTACATTCCTAAAGAAGCAGCGCATGTGTTCAGGGTTGGCCTCCACCTCAGCATGTGTGTGGCAGCCTGCTGAATAGATCCCTACAATTGGGAAGGAGTTAACCCTCTAGTTTGACAATCTCTGCATTCTACTTGGACACCTTCAAGAAGTAGATGTGAGACCAGGAGTAGACCTGAAAATGGGAGTAGGTAAATTTCCACAGAAAGCCAAGTTAGCTTTTTCCTTCCTTTATACACAAGACCTATGAAGCTGCTGTCATCAGCAGCTCATTCAACACTCTCCTGCTCTGCCTCTTTTCCAGGAGTCAGGGTTAGTTTAAGAAAAAGCCTCTTGCTAGAAGCCATGACCTCGTACTTTTATCCCCTCCATCTGGTGTGTGGCCTCATGGGGCTGTGCTGCTATGCAGGAGGTGAGCAATGGAATTCTTTAGATGATGACTTCTGAGCCCACATGCAGAGGCAGTTGGGGGTGGGAAGCAGGGAGAACAGTGAGAGCCAAGATCGATGGACCAAAAAGTAAAGTCTGCTTTGGGGAAGTCCTGACTATAGGTAGACTGTTTTCATGAGGTGTTCTTCCCCTAGCTCAAGCAGGGGCCCAGGTCAGGGAGCTGCAGCATCCCAGGTGTATGATTGATGAACATTGTACTTTTCCCTTCTGTCTTAACAGTTGGGGTGCAGGAGTGGGATAGGTAGCCTACGCTGTCTCTAACAGAAAACATTCCAGAATTGAACAGAAGAGTTCCCCTTGCATACATCATCTTTTGGAGCTGCTCTTACTCACTGCCTTGAGCCTAAACAGAGGTCCAAATTTTGGATGGGAGAACAAAGAGGGGTTGAGAGCAGCAAGTGTTTGATCAAGTGAAAATCTGCTGTCTGCCTCATCTCACAGGGGTTTCTCTGCAGGATTGAGACCCCTTGCCTTGGTGTACACAAGTTGTTTGCATCAGCTTGAGATCCCAGGACCTTTACCAGGCCATGGGTAGGCATCTATCTGGCTTGGCATGGGAGTTTCTTAGGACACTTATTCCCTGATCTTGCTTTCCTAACCCAGGAGTTGACAGCATTTTTAAAAGGAGTGAAATCTCAAAGAAAATTCTAATACATACTTTTTTTTTTTTGAGACGGAGTCTTGCTCTGTCACCCAGGCTGGAGTGCAGTGGCACGATCTCAGCTCACTGCAAGCTCCACTTCCCAGGTTCACACCATTCTCCTGCCTCAGCCTCCGCAGAAGCTGGGACTACAGGCGCCCGCCACCATGCCCAGCTAATTTTTTTGTATTTTTAATACAGACGGGGTTTCACCATGTTAGCCAGGATGGGCTTGATTTCCTGACCTCGTGATCTGCCCACTCGGCCTCCCGAAGTGCTGGGATTACAAGCGTGAGCTGCCGCGCCCAGCCTCTAACACATACTTTCAAAGCCCAAAGCCTTAATAATTTTCTGTCATGACTGCTTCTACTGTGTCTATACACTTAGCATAATTTCCAAAGGACTAGATAAAACAAAATTTTAATGTTAATCTGAAGGGGAAAAAAAGGAATAGAATTAGGAGCCAGAGTTGTTTAAATGTGGAATACTTTGTATAGTGGTCACATGGTACCGGTGGTAATAGTGGCAGAAATGGCAAAAGAGCCATTGGTTGATAAGGTTCAGGAGGGCCTAGGCTGTTCCTTTGTAAACCGTGCTCAGATATACTCTCCTGGCAGTCCTGGGACTCCTATAAGGCTTGAACATTTTGTATCAATTTCTGTTTTGAAGGTGCTGGGACTCTGGCGCCCCCAACCCTGGGCATCCTCAGGCTTTGAGGAGAATACACAAGATTTGAAGTCAGAAGATCTAGGTTTGAGTTCTGGCTGAGCCATGCACAGTTCATTTGACCTTGGACCAATCACCAAATTCTTCTGAACAGCATCTGTAAAGTGACAGTAACCCCTACCTCACAGGGTTGTTGTGAGGATTACGTATATGCTAAAGCATTCTGTATATGAAAAAGCTTCTTATGAACATTATTGTTATTCCTGGGGAAACCCCACCTTGGAAGCTGTCAAAAAGGACAACTGTAGATGAAGTTGTCTTCCTTTTTTCTTCATTCAGCGTAGCCTTTCTGTTTGGCCAGGGCTGCTTACAGGAGCTGTTAGCTGAAGTAAAGTCACCACATTTTGGCTCCTTTGGTCAAAGAGAAAGAACTCTAATGTCCAGCTGCTCCATCCATATACCCATAGAATGGAAGTGAGTAAAGGAAAATTTTAAGCCAGGATAGTTAACAGTTAGGGGGCCAATGGGAGAATGCTTGCCTTGCATTTGCAAATCCAGAATGACTAAAACATCTTAAGTAAATGAGAAATAGCCACAAAGATGCTCAGAGATAATATAAGCCATGAGTGGGAAGTGGGAAAATGAGTTTGTAAACTCCTCTCTTTTCTATCCCTTTACCTTTGAGGTCAGGGACAGGCATACAGCCCACTGGCTATTGCCCTATACCTACCAATCACCCAAAGAAAATAATAGCTTCTGAGAAAGCTCAATTCACTGTAGCAACTGTGATATATTTACCCTAATAAAGCCACCACTTGGTCTTTTCCAGTGCTTCTCTCTTACGGAGGTCATCCCTGGAATCCAAAGCTATCCAGTTTTCTAACCCAGTTAAGAGTTTAAAACCACCACAGGTCATAAGCAGTAGGCTTGGCAGTTATACCTTATGCAGTCATAGGAGACTGTCCCATCATTCTCAGCACATAGGGTGCACATCTCACTGTCTCCAGCATGAACCAGCCTTGTGAATGTGTACAGTCTCAGCCACTCTGCTTTGGTGATAATTCTTCACCACTGATCTCTCCTCGCCATGCCCTTTCTGCATCCTTCCCCCAACCACCCACCAGCGGAGTTCTGGTCCCCAAACCAAAGAGTTGCCTGCAGGTTGGTAATGTAACTTTGTAGATATTCCTTGATTACAGCTAGACCCTATTGGTATCCTTTTTGAATTACTGGATCGAAATCTAATTGCTTTTTTTTTTTAAATTGTTGGGGAGAGGAGGATGAACAGAACTCCTATGCAGCCTGAGAGAAGTTCTGTATGTGTCTATATATGTACACGTGTGTGTGTGTGTGTGTGTGTGTGTGTAACCTCATGGTTGTGCTCAGGCTGACAGGGAGGGCAAAGAGTGAAAAGGAACCATCTCTTTCTTGTTTTCCAACATTGCTTCAAAGATGCCCAACCCCCGTAGTAGCAGGCGGTTCCCAAGTGGAGGGTCGGGGCAGAGGCCTCCACCAAGGCCATCAATAACCAGGTGTGAGCTACAGGTCTCTGTGTAATGTGAAGCTTTCCCGTATTTCATTTCTGCACCCAGGGGGCGGCTCTGCAGGATTGCTTACGGAGAGCTCTGTGTCTGGCACCTCTCTCCGCAAGGCCCAGGCGCCCAGGGTCCCACCGACCTGCCCAGGAATGCATCACATTGTTCTCTGGTGCTGTAATTTGGCTGCAGGAGCTAGGCTGAATGCCTACCAGGGATGAGAAACATACTCTCCCTGGCGTCCTCCCTTCACCCCAGCTAGCTTGAGCTTCTGCCCTATGACCACTGAGTGCATTTAAATAAAAACCTCAGAAAGACTGAGGAAAAAAAATCCTAATTATCTCTCTTCTATTAAGCCATGTAGAGACTCGTGTCCTGAGTGGGTCTGAGAATTTGGCAAAGACTTAGTGGTTGGTGTTCTTGATAAGGGAAGTGAGAGAAAGGAGAAGAAATTACTCCCTGCAACAGGGAGGAATAGAAATGAAGCAGTGAGTGTTCAGAAGTTAGATCTACAAGAAGTTTTGCAGACAGACCCTCAGGGCCAGGCAATGTTTGTTTTTGTTTTTGTTTTTTAATCTGAAGCCCTTGATTTTATTTTTACAGCATCACTCTAAGGAAGAGTGTGGATTACTGCCATTATTCAGGGCTGGTAATAATAAAAGTTAGCTTTTATCTGCAGGGCTAGGTTAAGGCTGGCATTCTTACTTTTACATAAAAAAACTGGCTACAGGCTGTGCAGCTGAGGTACTTCAGTCATGTGCCTTCTCTAAAGGATTCTTAGATCCTTAAAATATATAGTATCTTTTAAGTTTGTATCTAAATAGCACTTACTGTAATGTATTATACCTAAACGTTTATTAAAAGTTAGAAGAAATGAGTACCAACAGGAAGGAATGGAAGAGAGGAGACGGGCTAAGACATTGCTGATCTGAGGGACAGACCTCTATCAAATAGAGGGCTGGGAGAAGTGGTGATTAGAAGCAGAGTGAGGGAACTAAATGGAGCCCTGACTGTACCAAATAAAGTTCTCATTTTGCTGCTTGTTCCAAATAAATTAGTGTCTGTTTGTGTAATGCAGACTAAATGCCAGTTGTCTAAAGCCAATCAGAATGCAGAAGCAAGCTAAGAACTAGGAGGAAAAATTAATTGCTTGGCCATCATTCCTTTTTGGGCCACATAACCTCTGTAGTGGGGCTCAAATGGACACCATTTCTCTCACTTATCCACTTCACTTTTCAAACTTCTCACTCTCTGGACAGCTTGCTCTTTTCTTAACCATTTATAGGAAATTGCAAAACTTGCATCTTTATGAGCTAGAATCTGGAGCCCAAGGAAAAGCACAGAGTAGCATGAGATGCCAGAAGAGGCCCATTTCCTTCCACAGGAATGAGAACCAAAAACCAAAAAATAGATAATAGGGCATAGGTAGATTTAAGTCACGTTGACTTCCCATGGAAGGCCTATGCCATTGTTTATGTGGTAACCTGCATGTTCTTGTGAGAACAGGGGCTGACTAGGACCTGAGTCTTTCCCCAGCAGCTTGGCATATAATATAAGGCAGGCTCCTTTGGTAAATTCATTCAGCCCTATTGTTGAGTTCAGACTAACCATGACCCCCTTACCTCTCCACTACCCCAAAGCTTTCCTCAAGATGTCAGCTCTTCTCTTCCCCTCCCATTTCCCCCTCCTTAATCCTACCATTGGCTCATCAGTTATCCAGTTGACTCCACTCTGAAGGAAGACATTCTCTTGGCCTGACTCATTCAGGCCCATTTCTCCACAGGCATCCCCTTACCGCAGACCACAAGGGCCCTAACTAGCTCATGTTTTGTGTTAATGGATGTGAAACCGGAGCAAATCCCTTCACCAAAAGAAAAACCACCCTAAACTCTCCCACACAGGTCTCAGCAGGTTACACAAATATTAGTCCTATCATCCAAATAAATCTGCCCCTGTGGCCCAGAGCCATGGCCCCCCCAGCCTCCTGCTGCCTGTGCAGAGTAAAGCTGCTTCAAAAACATATGAGGACCCCAAGGGATGTTGGAGAGGAACTTGGGAAAGACAGGGCCTACATCCAGAATTCTTTATGCAGGCCCCTTAATCTACAGACTTTTATTAATACTTTATAGTCCTAAAGAAGGACTGTTCCTAGAGAAGTCATGATGGGCTAGACCATTCAGGAGCTTTGGTGAAGAGGATCTGTGGGCTGGAGTTTGGGGCATAATTAAAACTCAGTATCTGACAGCTGGGCACAGTGGCTTGCGCTTATATGCTCAGCACTTTGGAAGCCTGCAGTGGGAGGATTGCTTGAGACCAAGAATTCAAGACCAGCCTAGGCAACATAGCTCCATCTCTGATAACTGTGTTGAAACTAGCTGGGCATGATGGCATGTCCCTGTAGTCCCAGCTAATGGGGAGGCTGAGGTGAGAGGATTGCTTGAGTTTGGGAATTTGAGGCTGCAGTGAGCCATGATCATGCTAGTGCACTCCAGCCTGGGCAACAAAGCAAAACCCTATCTCTAAAAGAAAAAAAAAAAAGAAATAAATAAAAAGAAAAAAAAGAACAGGTACGTATCCTCATTTTACAGACGAGAAAATAGAAGCTCAGAAAATTTAGCTACCTTGCTCAAAATATCAAAAGCAAGTGGCACAGCTGTGATTTTTAACCCAGGTCTGTCATAACTGCAAATTTCTATACCACTCTGCTGCTTTAAGATATCAACAGGCAAAAGATAACCACTGCCCAAATCACATAAAAATAGGACATCAAGGTTTTGGGGACTTCATGTCCTACCCTCCAGCTTACTAAGCCTGCTATCTCTGGAGATTCCATTCTTGCAAACCTAGTTAGGCAATGGGTAATAGCATAGAAGAAACCCTCCTCTATTTAAGCCGAATGTGGACTGAACAATAATAATCACCAGGACTTGGAGAGTCACTAAATAAAGATTTGTTGAGTAAATGGAGGAAGGCTGCCTTCTGTGTATCATTTTGGCCCCAACCCGTAGCACTCCTTCCCACTGTAGCCACTGACTCCTGCTCCCAGCTTCAAAGGCTAGGATCCTCTCATAAAGAATTACCAAAGCCAGAGATCCCTACCTTCCTAATATGTACTTTTGCCTCATGTGGGCCCTTGAGATCAGACCTGCTTTCCTGCCTTCCCACTATCCATGAGTTGCCTATCTTTTACTCCGTGTTTCCCCAAATCTGGCTAACCTACAGAGTAATGCATGGAAAAACAAACAAACACAAGGCCTGGCCAGACTTACTATATTACTCTATCCTAGGAGTGTTCTAGGGTGTTCTAATGATCTGTTAAGCATGGGAACCACTGCATTCCACTTCAGTTTGAATAGGCAGCAAGTAAGCAAAAGAGGCAGTGCTGTCCAATATAGGTTGAGAATGGTAGAGAGAAAAAGAATGAATGTGTGTTTGTATAGTTATGATTCTTTTTCTTCTACAAAACACAGCAGTTTATAAACACATAAGCATGTGAATGGAACCTTGTCCACTATGGCTAACATCTCAGGCTCTCAATAACAGAATGTGGTAGCCTAAGATTTTCTTTTGGGGTACCAGGTAGTTCTGCTCAAACTGACTTCAGAGAACGGGCATGTCATTCATCTTTGTCCCATCTAACTTTGGCCAGGTAGAAACAAAAAGAAGCTCTCTACAGGTACCCTTCCTCTTGCACACCAAGGAAGTATCAGGAAGCTGGTGCAAAGGAAAGAAAAAAGGAGCCTCAACTACATACTTTAGTGCAACTCATTTCACTCTAAAGACCCTCTATCTCTTCTACTCTCCCTTCAAATCTCCAGAGTGGGAAATCAGGGAGCTTGCTCAGTTTCTTATATCCCCTGACAACTCCTTCCCAGGGCTAAGGAACCAGCCAGGACACCATGGTCCCTATGGATTACTCTCTACATCCTTAAATAGAAGCTGTAGCAGCCCAGGGTGGAGGGTGGAGGAAGGTGTGCATGCAAGGATCTTGTGCTTTTGAGTTGAGAGGCTTGAATTGGAGGGATGAGTGAGGTATCTGTGTTCAGGTCTGGTCCAGCCACTCTGCCTTCTTGGGGGCCTTGCAAGTATGGACGTCCACAGTATTTCTGCATTCCTTGCACCGTACAGCACAGCACCAGTGGAATTTGCACTCACACTGGGTAACACGGGTGACTCGAGTTGTGTCATACCCTCGGCCACAGCACATGATTTCACAACCGTCTGTTCCTTTTGATGTCTTGCTGCAGACACGGCCTGCAGTGCCTAGGGAACCTGGGTTGGGGAAGAGAGGGAGTGAGAACAAAGTTATTTCTTCAGCTGCCCTGGATACCCTTACCCACATTCTCAGAAGGAAGACATAAAGAATTGCTTTTTTGGGCTGGGCACAGTGGCTCACTCATGCCTGTAATCCCAGCACTTTGGAAGGCCGAGGCAGGAGGAATGCTTGAGTCCAGGAGTTCAAGACCAGCCTGGGAAACATAACAAGCCCTGCCTCTACAAAAACTTAAAAAATTAGCCAGCTGCCATGGGCATGAGCCTGTAGTCCCAGCTACTTAGGAGGCTGAGGTGGGAGTAACACTTGAGGCTGGGAGGTCGAGGCTGCAGTGAGCCGAGATTGCACCACTGCACTCTAGCCTAGGTGACAGTGAAACTCTGTCTCCAAAAAAAAAAAAAAAAAAAAGCATGGGCTCTAACATCATATTGTCTGGATTCAAATCCCAGTTCTACCACTCTTAGTTGTGTGATTTAGTCAAAATGAAACATTAACTTAGTTTCTCATACGAAAATAAGCACAATAATAGATTGTTAGATATAATCTCTGTTCATCTGAAGAGGTGAACTGATTACCATGACTGGCTGCAGGCATATTCCTAAGTAATATCCCTTGTATTATTATTATTATTATTATTATCCCTAAGCATTATCCCTTCCCCTTACAGTGGAAACTCGATAGGCATCATGTTTTCCCCATGCACAGGGAATGCTTAGAACCTCATTCTGACTGATTTTAGCAAAAGAGATCCTGCCAACAGATCATAAAATCAATAGACTTTTGGATGAGTTGGGCCCGTCAGAGCATCTACTCCAACCTTTTCCATGGTTAATAAGGATCCAGAGATGGGAAAGTAACTAGCCTAGGTTCAAAACGGAGAATAGATTAACTGATTTCTACAGCATTAGTCTCCACATGCCACTGGGATAGGGGAGGAAAATGCTAGAACTTCTATGTTTTTTTATCTCATCAATTTAAAATATTGATGTATGTTTTCTAAAATATATATTCATATAGTGGAACACAGATATAAATAAATACACATATAATGGAGATATATGCTCAAATTGTTTTAATGATAGGAGTAAAGGATCCAGAACGTCAGGAGACCACTGCTCTGGAATGTGGGCTGACTAGGTCTACTGTATATGTTAGTCTCCTAACTCCAAGGGCTGGGTCTTAAGTCCTCTTGGGCACCAAAAGCCCCTTCTACACTGTGGAGCTGTGCTGTCCAGGGTAGCAGCCACTCATCACATATGGTCTTTTACATCTAAATTAATGAAAATTAAGTAAACTAAAAAATTTAGCTCCTCAGTCACACTAGCTATATTCCAAGTTCTCAGTAATCACATGTGGCTAGTTGCTACTGTATTGGACAACACAGATAGGAAAACATTTCTATCACCACAGAAACTTCAACTGGACTCTACTGCTTTGGAGGGAATTCCTGGCTCCATATTCTTTCTGGGATGACTTATATTCTTTGAATTCCAGGCCCCGCTTTGGGTTTTAGGAGGCCTAATTTTATGCCTCTGAGAAAAACCAACACACATTTGACTTATCCTCCCTCCTAACTCCAAAGTTCCTTCCCTAAAGGTGTATTTTCAGTATGGCAGGGTAGGCTTACACCTCAGATATTATGGAATTATTTCTAGGTATCCAGAGAGTAGCCCTCTGAATTAGACCAACTGGGAGGAAAGTATACCTAGTGGCAGGAAATCACTGGGAAAATCAGGAGGACTCTGACTTTTTTTCTTCTAGCACCCTACAAGGTATACAGA